CCGATCCTTCGACAACCTCGACAAAAACAAGAAGGAGAAAGATTCCCTATTAAATAAATGGTGCTAGGAAAACTGGCTAGGCCCATAAGTACGAAAAGCTGAAACTGATCCTTATCCTTCACTTATACAAATTATTCTAGAATGGATAGAGGACTTAAATGTAGACCTAAAACCAATAAAAAACTCTAAAAGAAATAACCTAGGCAATATCATTCAGGACATAGCATGGGCACAGAGCGACTTTCATGTCTAAAACCAACCAAAGCATGGCAACCAAAGGCCAAATTTGACAAATGGGATCGAATTATAACTAAAGAGCTTCTGCCAGGCAAAAGAAACTATCTCAAGATTTGAAACAGCAACTCTACAGAATGGGAGAAAATTTTTGCCAATCTACTCATCTGTCAAAAAGGGCTATGCAGAACCTACCAAAGAACTCAAACAAATATTTACAAGAAATAAGCCCACAAAAGATGGGCAAATGAATATGAATCAGACACTTCCCTCAAAAGAAGACATTTATGCACGGCCCAACAGACACATTGAAAAAATGCCCTCATCATGCTAGCCATCAGAGAAATGCAAATCAAACCAACAATGAGATAAAAAAAAAAAAAGAAAATTCAGTTGAAAATGAGGCCTTCTAAAGGTCTTAAGTCCTTTATAGATATCTGCTATTGAATATCAACAATTTTTGTAATCTCTTGATGTTACTATCACCATTATATAGATACACCGTCAGCCCATGCCAATCTACATACTCTGATTTACTTTCATCTCTCATAAACCTTTCACTTGATACTAAAATGTCTTAGAAAATGTTTTGAATATGACCGTATTTTGTACTACAGCAATATAGAATATCTCAGCATGTCAAAATTTCACCAATTATCCATTAAATCTGCACAAAGCAAATTCCTGTCCAAATTTGAGATGAAAAACATGTTACTTTCTAAACATAGGTCAGAGTTTAAAGCAAACAACACCTCTACAACACAAATAGTTTATGACCCTTGAGTGGGATGGTCTTTCATTTCTTCTTTTTGAATCTTTATTCAAGCATGAAATTTCTCTAAGATATCATTAACTAGTATTCATATGATCCCAACCCCTTTTGGACAGCCCTAAATCTTTAAGTAAAAGCAATTTCCTAGATCAAGTCAAATTCTGGTTTGTTGTAACCTCTTACTCTTTTGTTTGGATCCATCTTGAACAAAATAAAGCAAAAGAAAACCAGTTAAAAAGAAAAAAACAAAAAAACAAGTATTTTGTTTTCCATTGTGACAACTCATTAAGCAATTGAAAAAAAGTCCCTTCTATAAATATCCTCTTGTTTTCTTTGTCCTAACATATTTGAGTCAGGGCAGAGGACAAATTCTCCTACTCAGAAAGTGACTTGGAGACTCCATCCTCAGCCTTTATTTCGTGAATCTGCTAGTAACATGTTAATCTATCCTATGGGTCGCTTTGCTTGTATTATTACTCTTTAGACATGGTTAGAATATTGGAAATTTATCCCTTTAATTGATTTTTTTCTGCTAAATCTCTGACTGTGTTTTTACATAAAAGCCATTAAGTAAATTTTTGCACCTGGATTTAGTGCCATTATCAACAACTTTTCCCCTGGCATAGGTAACTGAATCTGTTTTCCTTTCTTTCTCTAGAAAGATGAAGAGATCTACAAAGAGCTTTAACATAATTAGAGATATAATTAACTAGAATTACTTCCTTTTGTTTAGTGATAAATAAAATATGCAATTATGATTTAAAGAAGCATTAATGTGTTTTCAACATCTAATGCTTTTCAGACTCTGAAGAAGTATAGATCATCATAATCTCAGAATTATTTCTCAATCCTAAGTTGAAATACAGCATAGCTCAGATGAACTGTTTCTTAAGGTCAGATGTCCTCTCTAGTACATACACAGACATCACAAACAAAATGTCTGAGATTCAAAGTAATTTTATGACCAAAATTTCCTAGACCTTTTTCTGTCAACAATTTATCTTAAATTGTTTCCAATTCTCCTGCTTAGTTGAATTCTTCTGGTTCTTTTCAGCTATATAGCCCTGTGTTATATAAAAGTTAAAGAATTTAAACAGATTATCAAATTCATAGCTTGAATTTGGCAGGCACAGAGAAAGCATGTCCATTATTGAAAGAGACAGCATGTCATCATTGACAGAGACAGTATCAGTATGTCATCATTGAAAGTATCAAGTAAATCAAGAAACAAAAGTATAAACTATACTACTAACAAAACATGTAAAAAGCTAAAAACCAAGGCCCCCAACATAAGTAGAAGAACTTCCAAAACCTAAAGAAATATAACAAAGGAGTTTGCAAAAGGAAATAAAAAGTGCACATGGCAAATAGCAAACAAAAATACAGCTCTGTAAAGTACGGAGCCCATATTAAGTTGCAAATTTATATTATTTATGATTTCTATTATACACATCTGAATAGAATCCTGAATAATTTAGAACATGTTACCGTAAGTAAGGGATTCTAGTAATGCAACCTAAAATATGGGTGTGGTTGAATGGAGTTGATGGGGAGAATGGATTAATGACTCAGGTATGAGAGGCTAAAAAGCTAATGAGTCTTACACATGGTAAAATGTTTGGGCAAACCTCACTTTGAAAAGAAAACCGTGTGCTCACTGATGCTTAAAAAATGCAGAATTTATTGGGCAAAGTACAAGAAACAAAACTACAAAAAAATCAGAATATTTGCATGACGTGGATTCTTCTTGCCACTTTTAGCATTTACAAGAAAGATGAATTCAGACTACAGTAGTCAGAATGCAAGCAGAAATGGGAGGAGAAATATCAATTTTATAAGGTGGTATAGTCTGCCTGCAGGTGTTGTACATAGTTAATCAAGAGTCCCATAATTTGGAATTGAAAAATTGAAGATAAAACTCTAAGTATCCTATCCCCCAAATTGAGATGGTGGTAAAACTATAGCCTTATCAGAAGATAAAACTGATGCTCCAGATACAAAGGCAATGAGTCCACTGGCAAAGACGGAATTTAGGTCTTGTCCTTCCTCCCAAACCCACAGTTTCAAATGGCCTTAAGGCAGTGGTCAATAATTAAAGAGAAGGGCTGGTCATAGCATAGATCAAAGTATATTTATATGCTCTTGGACTATAGTTCCTTTCAGATGGCATTGGGTTATAAAGCAAGTAGACTAGAAGCTTAGTAACCTTGTAAAGAACTTTTTTGTTGAATTTGAGAGTAGCTGACATCAGCCCTTGATTAGTCAATCTTTAAAGTAATCCAAAGGTCCCTAAAACAATATTAGCAGAAGGTGGATTGTAAAAGGTGTGCTGTCCTTAGATAGAGATACTCTCCAAACCAAACTTGGAGGTAACTGTGAAGAATAATGTGCCAGGAAGAACTACCCTGAGAGCAACACTAGGGCCCATGAAGGAGAGTGGACAGAAGATACCTTCTCAGAGGCCCGCACGTCGTCTACTAGATTGGCTTTCCAAGGAACTCTCTGAGCTGTGGGGTGGCTCATCCTTCCTGTCCAGTAGCGTTTGATAATCACTTCAGCAAATCTATTCTGGATGTTTCTTGGTGACAACAGAGACACCAAAACAGCCTTAAACTGCTTACCTATTTGACTAATTTTAAATGAGAAAAAGTAAACACTGTCTTTCTTTAGCCACTATTATTTGTTTCTCTTTTACATACAGCAGAACTTAATGCTAATCAATGGAAAATACAATTAATAGGAAAATATACAAACCATTATAAATTTAGAAGAAAAACCTATAAACTAAAATATTTATATTAGTAAAGCAGAAGAAATAAAACTTAAGACTCAACTCAAGAAGTTAGGGGCCAAAAAGAAATCAAACTTTAGGAAATCTGAAAGAATTATTAGAAAGAAAAGTAAATTTTAATGAATTCGAAAGCAAATAAAGGTAATATTAATTTTTTAAAATCCAAATAATGATTTTCTAAAAAAATTTAGCTAAGAAAATGGCTAATCTTGTCAGGTAAAATAAATTAAAAGAATAAATGAATACACACGGTAATAAATACTAAGAAATGTTATAGATATGGAAGTAATTTCAGACAGCTCTTTAAATACTGATGTGAAATTTGATCAAGAAATTTTACTAAGTGAATACTTAAGGTATAAAACAATTTATACAACATGTCACCCTTTGGCTAATGAAAGCAAATGATAGCTATATATAGATTTGTTTGTATTTTCTTGTATTTACCTGAAATATCTCAAATAATATATAAATATTCCAACCACATAAGTTGTCTGTGAGGAAAAGAATTGGATAGTAGTGGGGGAAGAGTTTACACTTTTTTCTTTTGAAGTTTAAACCATCTGATTATATTGCCAGGTCAAGAATATTTTCTAAAAAGTAATATATCAATTCAAATTTACATCTTAAATGATTGCCTTTTTTTCAATCGGAGGATAATTTCCACTTAACTAGAGGTAAGCACCATTTGTAACATCAGGGAAATGCCCCTCGCTGCATGCCTAGGTTGGGAGGTATCTGGAGCCATACTGTTGGTTAGAGGACATGCAACACGTACAAGTTTCCATTCTGTGAGGTCTCTACATATTTAATGGTTTTCTTGTACACTGTGTTTTCTAAAGTCTTTCCGTTGCAGAGTAAAAGTTACATTTACTTTAGAATTATTTTAAAAGCATCACTTTTCAACAAAGTTAGCATTTGTATAAATATAATTAGCATAAAATACTAAAGATTATCCACAAACCCAACCAGTTTACAACTCATTTTTGAGCTTTTTAAAGAGGTTGCAGTGAAATATCCACAGGTTTTCAAAAAAAAGACAATTCTTTCACAGTACAATAGAGGGAGCTGAAGGTTATGTCAGTTTATCCAACATGGTTATTTTTAAATCTTTTGGTGACATCCTGTGAAAGAAATATTGAATTCTCTTTTTTAAATTTTAATCCTCCTTAATCTCTTATACTTCTATTGATTTAAAAATTACTCAAAAACCAAAGTGAGCAAAACCCAAACACTTCTATCTAAAGTGCAATGTGAATTGTAAACTTATCTGTCTCTCCCAGTGGAAATTGTGCAGATATTTTCTGGTTTCTTGAGAATGATCTAGTCATAAGGACCAATGTTTCTTTTCAATGTTAAAGGCAGTACTGGAAATTTACACCCTTCTTCTTAACAAGTTGATTGAAAGTCATACCTGAGCAGGTAATTTTGGCTTCTTCATAGTGATCACAGGTAAGTCCACCCCATTGCCAGTTCTTGCAGTCCCAAAGAGAAGTTTCATTTCCGTTACAGCTACTTAGAAACAGCCACGTGTTTGTTGCCTGGATTTTGGAGTATACTTGATAGGATGTTTTGAGTGCAGATCCACATCCCAGCTGCCTGCAAACCACGTCAGCTTCTTTCAGTCCCCAGCCTCTGTCACACACCTTCCCTAACAGTCTCTGAATCTCCACCTCAACTGTCCCAGCACAGCGGCTGCCTCCACCTCTAAGTCTTAGCTCCAGATCTGATCCATCTGCAAAAGAAACATAAACTTAAACCATCGATACATATGGAGGTTAGCTTCCAGAGGATTTTTTTTGTCTTTTTTCTTCTCTGATACTGATACACTGGAAATTATAGCTTACTTATTTCCTGACTTTTTAAGAAACAATAAGATAGATCACAAATTTTTGTTAGAAATGGGACTGTAGTTTCAAGGGTTGATAAAAATTGTCAATGGCAGAAAGATATAAGCAATTCTGCTTTAAAAGAGATTTCTCAAAAAGTGGGTGAAGGATATGAACAGATACTTCTGAAAACAAGGCATTTATGTGGACAACAAACATATGAAAAATAGCTCATCATCGCTGGTCATTAGAGAAATGCAAATCAAAACCACAATGAGATACCATCTCATCACAGTTAGAATCGCGATCATTAAAAAGTGTGGAAACAGATGTTGGCAAGGATGTGGAGAAATAGGAATGCTTTTACACTGTTTGGTGGGAGTGTAAATTAGTTCAACCATTATGGAAGACAGTGTGGTGATTCCTTAAGGATGTAGAACTAGAAATACCATTTGACCCAGCGATCCCATTACTGAGTATACACCCAAAGGATTATAAATCTTTCTACTATAAAGACACATGCACATGTATGTTTACTGCAGCACTATTCACAATAGCAAAGACTTGGAACCAACCCAAATGCCCATCAATAATAGACTGGATAAAGAACATGTGGTACACATACACCATGGAATACTACGCAGCCATAAAAAAGAATGAGTTTATGTCCCTTGAAGGGACACGGATAAAGCTACAAACCATCATCCTCAGCAAACTAACACAAGAACAGAAAACCAAACACCTCATGTTCTCACTCAAAACTGGGAATTGAACAATGAGAACACATGGACACAGGAAAAGGAACATCACACACTGGGGCCTGTCAGGGGGTGGGGGGAAAGGGGAGAGAGAGCATTAGGACAAGTACCTAATGCATGGGGGGTTAAAACCTAGATGACAGGTTGATATGTGAAGCAGACCACCATGGCACATGTATACCCATGTAACAAACCTGCACATTAAACACATGTATCCCAGAACTTAAAGTTAAAAAAATAAGTAAATTTAAAATTTTACAAAGAGATTCCTATGAAATTTTGTCTCTCTGAGCTCCAGGTAGATTCTGAGTTTGAAGTGTGCTCCATAACAGTAGTCTGAGTAATTATTACAGAGAATGATGTCAGACAACTCTCCAAACTAGTTGAATAAAGAACATGTCAAAGATTACAAGTATAAAGGAATTCCCAGCAAGGAATCTACTAGGCATTTCTACTTCTTACATCTATTCCTACTCCTAAGGAGCACAGGACTTTCTCTTTCTGCTTTTCTTTTTGTTTAGTGTTTTGATTTTGGTTTTAACGTACCAGAACATGTTACGCCAGCATCTTCATTGTGATTGCAATAATGCTTTCCCCATTCATGGTGTTTACATTGCCAGACCGCAGGTTCATGTCCCTGGCAAGAAACACTGTCAAGCCAGATGTGTCCGAATCCCTCACTGGCGTTAACTCGACCAATGGCGGTGATAGCAGTTGGACATCCCAGTTGCTTGCATGCCACAGCAGCATCATGGCTGTCCCAGCCGTCATCACATATTGTCCCCCATTCTCCTTGGAATCTCACTTCTAATCTTCCTGAACATTCAGTGACTCCATCTACCAGTCTTAGGCTCAGATCTGCTCCCTCTGTAACAGAGATACACAACAGGTCTGCGATAGGGAAGTAAGAACATGAGACTATAAATAGCTGTACCTAAGATGAGTTGAGGAAAACGGGAGAGATATAAGTGGAGACAGAGAAAACTGTGATGTACTGTACTAGCACTGGAAATCATTCAAGATGGAAGGAGGAGTGGATCAGGCAAGAAGATGGACATCTCAGTATAGACAGCATATACTACAGGAAGTGTTTCTAACAGGAGATCCAGGGACTGAATTTCATCTAGAGACCTGCTATTTGACCACCACAGAGTTCTTGTTAGAACTGTTTACTTTTTCTGGTTAATATATATTCGCACGTGTTTAACTGGCACCCGCATCCTTCAGTTTGCCTCCATACTTAGCAATCCCTTTTGCCTCTGACTGCATTCTCCATTGATACTACCTAGCCTGTGTTGTATACCTGAACCTGTTGTGTCCACTTCCTTAGTTTAAAAGCAGAGCAAAGAGAGAGGAGGCTTCAGTACTACAATTTTCACCTTCCCCAAATCAATATTCTTCAAAGAATAGACGTTGATTCTGAAGAATATTCTGTAATAAATTAAACTGGTTTTTTCCTCTGGCAGTTTCCATTTTCATTCTCACAATATTATTTATTGTGATTCCTCAGCATGTGCTAACTGGGGGCCTAGAGAAATTTTGATGGGTAAAAGAGAATGGAAGATATAGTCTGTGGTTTTTCTACTCCAAATTCTTCATATTCTTCAGCTAACAAAACCTATCTTTCTTGTAGGAGTTCCATTCATTGTGGTTCAGGCTATAGCTGATCACATTGTTCAACAAGAAAAAGCCTGTTCAAGACATGCAGAAAGAGATAGAACCCAGATGACATTGTTCAAGAACCTGAATCCAACCATGCATGAGGCTAACTATACCCTCTGAATTTCCCAGTTTTGTGAGCCAGTATTCTCTTGGTTTTAAATGAGTTTGAATGGAAGTTCATTTATTTGCACAGAGAGAGAGAGAAAGAGAGAGAGAGAGAGAGAGAAAGAAACCTGGTGAAGATAGGGATTTTTTTACTCTTATTTTCCTAAGTGTTCTCTGGGGTTCAAGACACACTCAATCTCCTTTTATACTAAGAATTCAACAGAAAAACGAAGAGTGGTTCTCTGCACACACAAACCATTGTACCTGCCCCCAGTCTGAGTATCAACGTGAAAAGTCTCTAGACAGATACAATGCATATCCAGTATAAATAAAATTTTAATGGGAAACCAATATTGATTTTTAAAAAGTGATTTGCTTCTGTGAATTTGAAAAATGATTTGGGAAAGAGTGGGTTAATGAGGCTAATGAGGAGGCTTTTGTGGATTAGATGATAACTGGAGTGGTTTTGTCTTAAAACTTCATAGTGCAAAATTTCCTAGTAAAGCCCTTCCTTTCTTCCTTTTTCAAACCTTTTTCTTTTCGGTCTCTCCCTTTCTTTATGGGCTTTTCCTAAACACTGTCTTCTTTTCTTATGACCTGGATCTCAGTTTCACTATACACCCTTCTTCCCTAACCTATTTCTCCTAATTTCAGGTAAGGTAAAAAGTCCACAGGTATCAGAACTGAAACCTGAAGTTAGGTTAAAATGTGGTGACAAAAGAAGCAGATTTCATTATGTTCTTAAGAGTTCAGGCTTTTAAGATTTATTACCCCTTTCTTTTGTCCTCTCCTGGAGAATAGAATGAGCCAAGATCAGTCCTTACTTGAGCAAATCACTCCAGCATCCTCAGCATGATCACAGTTATGCTTTCTCCATCCTTGATGTTTGCAGTTCCAGAGAGCTGACTCATTTCCGTTGCATATAAGATCATCAAACCAGATTGGTCCAGAGCCTTCTCCAAAATTAGCTGAACCAGAGAAACTGACAGCACTTCCACATTCAAGTTGTTTACAAACCACAGATGCATGATCGATGCTGAAGTTATCATCACACACTGTTCCCCACTGTCCTTGGAATTTGATCTCTATTCTTCCAGAACACATATTCCCTCCATTCGTCAGCCTCATTTCCAAATCGGATCCATCTGGAGCAGAGAAAAGACCAGAGTTCAGAAGTTACATTCATTTAGAAGTGATTTTAGAAAATAAGTTTCCTCTGGACACTTGGGATTTGATGTTGTCCTTAAAATGGTGCCTGATTTTGGATGTTGCCCAGCTCCACACAGTGGATAATTTTAGTATGTTAAAATCTAGGAAGCAATTAGGATTTTTATCTGTATCTACTTACAAAGGAAAATATTTACAGATTAAAGTTTTTAAATTTTCTGTTTTGTTTTGTTTCCTTCCATTACTAGGATAGATGTAAATACTTTTTATATAGAAATAGATAAATTCGACTCAACTTATTTAAATTTGACTCCAGCTAAAGCTTTAGGTGTATAAATTTCAAAAAGCAAATTGATTAACTTCACTGGTAGTTATAAAACGACAGAAAATAAGAGCTAAAAGTACTACACTGATGTTTTAGCTAAACAGTCCGTTCTATAGACAGCAATAATTATGATAAGAGCCTGCTAAAATTTATGATAATTTTAAACTTTGCAGTAGATGTTACTTTTGTTATTCTCCATTTCACACCTCCCATAGTGGTTAAAAATAAGAGGAAAGAAGGAGGAGACGGAAGAGGAAGAGGAGAAAGAAGAAAGAGAACTGAGTCACCAAGAGAACCATGAGGATCTTCAGCACCTGTTACTTACCAAACAGTATGCTAGTAGTTTTACATGTATTATATCATTGAGTCCTCAGAGACTGAAGTTTAAAGAGATTTGACAACTTGCACAAAATCATAGGATATTAGCTATGGAAAATTTATTTCAGCATTTTTCTAGATGCTACTGTGTGTTTCTCTTATCACATCACAATACCTGGACAGAGATAAGTCCTTTCTATAGTCGGTCCTCTGGGAGAGACAGAGGCTGGGAGGTGAGAGGGTTGCATAAAAAATTAATGAAACAGGCCAATCATGGTGGCTCACGCCTGTAATTCCAGCATTTTGGAAGGCCAAGTCAGGCAGATCACCCGAGGTCAGGAGTTGGAGACCAGCCGGGCCAACATGGTGAAACACCGTCTCTACTAAAAATACAAAAATTAGCCAGGTGTGGTGGCAGGTGCCTATAATCCCAGCTACTCGGGAGGCTAAGGCAGGAGAATCACTTGAACCTGGGAGGTGGAGGTTGCAGTGAGCCGAGATTGTACCATCGCACTCCAGGCTGGGGGACAAGAGTGAGACTTCGTTTCCAAAAAAAAAAGAATGAAACAAACAAGGAGAAATGGGGAGCCCAGGAATTTGAATTGGGTCAGAAATGTGCCCTTGGGATTTGCCAGCAGAAAGTCCTGACACATGGCTTTCTCAGTTATTGTGGGGTCAATTGCAATAAAACATAAAGATGTTTTGTAAATTAAAACCACAACGTAAATGAAATGAATAGCACTGCACACTGGATCAAGCAATTATACTTTCAAAGAATCCTTCCTACAACAAGAAATGATGTATTAAAGCTAGAAATAGTTGATTTTTGTTCACTAAGTTGATTATCAGTTAATGGACAAAAGGGTAATAATTTGTGGGTCAACATATCAAAACAAGTCACTGGGAAAGAGAAAAAGGAAATAACTTAGATGTCACGATATTTTTATGATATAGGAATAGTAGGTTACATTAAGCTTACTGAATATAAAATTTAAGCCACCACTTTTTGGCTTTTTGGCTAAGATCACGTATAAAATTGAAGCCAGTCACTTCCTCATTAATCACAGTGTTCAGAATTATTTTCGTTTAAAAAAAAAATGCCCTTGTGTTTTGTGGTTTTCTAGCAATGGATTGAGTACTTTTATGCAGGAACTAGATTGCTTACAGGAAAATGGCTTATTCTAGGTTTTAACCCATCTGCATATTTCTTTCCCACCAAGGATTTTGTGTTGAGGCTTTGACTAATGCAAGTCTTACCTGAGCAAGTCACTCCAGCATCTTGTTGGTGAGTACAGTTACTATGCTTTCCCCATCCATCATGTTTGCAGTCCCAAAGAGCTGACTCATTCCCACGACAAGAAACGTGATCCATCCAAATGCGTCCAGAACCTGCACTGGAATTAGCCCATCCAGTGGCTTTGATAGCAGTTGGACATCCCAGCTGGTTACAAATCACAGAGACCGCTTCCATGCTCCAGCCATTATTACACACCGTTCCCCACTCCTCCTGGACTTTCACTTCCACTCTCCCACTACACTTGCTTTCACCATCCACCAGCCTCAGCTCCTTGGTTGTTCCTCCTGCAACAATGGATTCAGACAGTCACTGGCCAAGGTCGCAAAAAGCAGGTAAAAAATTATTTTTTACATAAATTATTTATCCTCCAAACTCAGATTTGAGAACCATCCCAGTTCTATACATGGTAAAATAGAAGAACGTTATTTCACAGTCATTCAAATATAAGTATCAGTATTACTGGTTTCAAATTAAGCAGTGCTATATAACCAGTAAAGGCAAGTAACTCAATAATGTTTAATAGCTTTATTTTATGGTTGAAGAGTCTTAATAGTGGCAATTTATATAATTTCCATGAAGCGTTTTCAAGTTAAATAAGATTCTACAAAACGTTATGGGGATGAACTTTTTACATTTCTCCAAAACCGTAAGGTCGATAGAAAGAAGGCTAATAGAGAATTTATGAAGATGAAAAGACTAGTTGTAAGAAATTTAACCCTTATTTCATACAAATATGTAAAATAGCATAAATCTTAAAAACACTAGACTGAAACTTATCTACTTAAATAAAAATTAAGATGGATATATTTTCCTGCTGTTTTCTATCATAAAATAAACCTGTTTGTATTCTCTTCCCACCCCCAGATGATAGATGATCTCAGTTGCCTCCTTGGCATTATTTTAGCTTTATTTAGGAATCCAGTGGTCCCACCAACCAGGCATCTCTCAATACATTTTTAGATAAATTTTGGCATTTGAATTTACTAATGTGTTTCCCAAATTCACTTTTGTTCTAATGATTCTGAAGTTTCTCCTCCTTTGTATTCTTTCCTATTTTTTAGCTCAACATTATTTCTAATCTTTAAGTAAAATTCATCTTTCTGCTGTGAGTTTATTTTATTTGGTGAGGAACCATGCTAATATTTTGGTGTCGCATGGTTAGATTTTTATTGTGTGCTTTTAATAATATCTGATCCTTTGAATACATGGAGCATGTCACCTAGTTTTTAGATGCTACTCAGCCTTCAGAAAAATTGTTTGCTTTTTAACTGTTCTTGTCAGAGTGGGTGAAGGCTGTAAGTAAATTTGACAGAGTACTCACCAAGAGAACTGGTGACAAAACAGGCACTGAGAAGTAAGACCACAGCAATAGTGAAGGGACTCAAGTTGACAAAATGTCTTCTGACGTCTGTGAAAAAAAAAAGAGGGCAAAAGTAGCATCTTCCCAAAAAAAGACTTTGGAGAAGATAGACAGTTTCAGAGGTTAATTAACAAAGAAGGTCAAACCAAGACAGAAAACCCTTCCTTTTAAATTGCAAGGCAGGCAGGAAACATTCATACCCAGGCTCATATAGTTTCAGTGAAATAGCTTTGAAAATGTTCATGTTTATAGGCAACCTAGAGGTGAGGGACTAGAAGAAGGTTGGTGGTGGAAATGAGAATTGCAAGGGCAACCCTTAAAACCTGGAAAATGAGAACAACATCAATGAAACTTATAGTAGACAATTCTCCCAGCAGGCACAGGGAAGGTATCCTGAGATTTCTCTATTCCCTAACCACCTCGATATTCAATTACGGATGCTCCCATCTTCAAGACTACCTGAGCCGCACTGAAAGAGGATAAGTTCCATGAGTAAATGAATTATATCTATCATGTTCACCATAATTTCACCAGTACCTGTCTTGATGCTTGCCAAATAGTAGCTAGCTGAACAATACCTTGATGGAATAAAGTGACGATATTCATATCTGAAAAGCTCAAATATTAAATCTTGTCATCTTTACCTGTATCATTATCACATAATACACTCTTTAATGCTGTTATTACTCTCATATCTTCTCATTACTCTAACCCAACACTAATTTAAAACTAAAACTGCTAAATGATTTTAACATGTCCAAATAACTCTTGAAATAGATAACTCACTTATCAGAGTAGATAATCTTCTTTATGTAATTAACTCTATCCATATTCATTTCTGCGTATTCCATCTTTTCTAACAACTATTTTTTCATACTCAATACATTTCAGTTAACTTTAGTTCCTGACTTAATTTCACCTCAGCAGTTTTACAAAATTAATGCCAACTCTGATTCCTATATCACATCTTCAATTTTGAATCTATGGCAAATCAAAGATGCTGCCATATAAGCCTATGTCCTTTTTCCACTCCTTACTCTCCTCATGCCAATCACTTTTAAATCACATCCATTGACTGTCATAATAATATACCCCATTAAAGGGGAAATGTAGAATAAATGAGAAGCTTTTACCAGCAGATCCAGAGTCTTCAAGTAGCACCATTCTGAGTTTGTTCATTCCAAAGTTTTATAACTTCAATGATTCTTAAATCTTCTTGTATTATTCCGTAGAAATGTTCTTCTAAAGAAAAGGACTAAGAATTCTAAAAATCACTTCACTCTCATGAAAATGAAAAGGCTACATACGGAGGCGGAGTCAACCCAAAAAGGGAAGTCATTGAAAGAGCTGAGGTTCCATTTCGTACTCATGTTTTCTTCAATATGGGACATGAAACAACCAAAGGAAATTGGGAAACACTTCCCACAGATTTCGAAAAATTAGAGGAAATACTAACTCATATGCTGCTGTTGCTGAATTAAATATTTTACATTTTTGAACTTCATTTTGGACAAAATATATGAGATACAAAAAGGTACTGTCATGTAGAAAAATTATGTAAAAAAACTAAAGCAAAACAGGTAAAACATAATTAAATAATTAATGTTTTATTATATCTACTTTTAATTTTATTTCCATAATCAAATGTGTCTAATGAGTAATTTTGTGTAAGTTGTTGAGACACAGCATTTGTCATTTCTTTTCTAATGGGATGAAGTACACCAAGAGAATTAGCCATGACTATTACTGATATTACAAATGGTGAAACAAAAATTAGCAAAACATGGTTTTAGCTCTATATAACTCAGATTCAAGTAAGAGAAACACATATGATAACAACAATGAACATAAAGTTAAAGTGTGGGGGTAAAAATAATGGATGAAGTAGTCCTATCTATTGAGAGAAAGGAATGAACAGTCAGAAAACTCTTTTCTCTGAGGAAAGGCTTAAATTGTGTCCTAAAAGATGAGAAAAACATTGCCAAAGGGACAAATGATAAAGGAGTTTAAGGCATAAGAAATAGCACATACAAATGAATATTTATATATAAAAACATATCAGCTCGAAATAACTACTAATAGTTCATCATGGCATACATATTGTCAGGTGTTAGTGATGGGCCTGAAATGGGGAATTAAAGTAGCACCTCCAGCCTTCCAAAGAAATATTCACTAGAACCCAGTCAACAAAGGCACCCTGCTTTCTTCCATTTCTTGGGCATGCCAAATCTCTCCCTGCCTCATGGTATGTCATACATATTGTTCCTTCTGCGTTTACTGCCTCCCTACCAGTACCTTTCTCTAAGATAATTCTTACTCACGTATACTTTATTTCTCAGTTAATCATCCCTTCATTAGGAGAAATAACTCCAACCCTGAATGACCCCAGAAAATAAACACTCAAGATACCCTGTACTTATGAGGACTGTCGATTATGTTTTTATATTTATTGTTTATCTTACTTGCTAGTCTTAAGATACCAGGATAGGAACTGCCTTTTTTTAAAAAAGACATCTACCAGTCCCTGCCAGATGGTAGGCTCGATATTACCTTTTTGTTGTTGTTGATAATGTTGTTATCATCGCTGAGGTAAACAAGGACTACATGAAGAGGAGTTTTATATACCAAGGTAAAGAATTATAATTTTACACTGCAGGCAAGTAATGACATTAAATAGTTTGAAACATGAATATTAAAGTGCTTTGTCTTTTACATATTTCATCTTGCTAGCAACTTTGAGGATGATTGGTGGCCAGGGTAAAAATGGAAATAAGAGCAAGACTAAATGCAGTGAAAGTGAATATTATAGCAAAAACCTAGTAGAATAAGAGCCTATTTGAAAAGATATAGTAGAAAAATGGAAGAAATAGATTGGTGCGAAATTAAAAAGCTAGGTGAACAAGACATTTTTGCTTTCATTCAAAATGAAGAAACAGGAAGTGTGTTTACCATCCCACCTGAAACAACTAAAAGCCAAACCAAATATATGTAGCAGTGATTTTCAAGACACTGAAAATGAGGCAACAAGAATAGTTGTTGCCTGGATCTCAAGGATTGTGATCCATGAGTGATGAGAAGCTAAGCTGAGTTTACTGCCTTGAGATAGTTTCCAGGCTACCATGGAGTAGGAAACCCAGAGAATGATCAGAGGAGTACCAGAGTTGGGGAGAAGCAGCTGAGAATCTGGGAGACTAAGGTGGCTAGAATTCACAGGAAATAGTCTCATAGAGGAGAAAGTTGCAGGGAGAGAGAGAGAGAGAGAGAGACAGAGAGAGCGGGAGTAGGGAGGAGGCAAGGAGAGAGAGCTGAATATCTGTAGAGTCCCCTTTGAGTATTCAGCTGAGTATTGTTAAGTGCATGCATGTGAGCAAATTACCTGAGTTTGGGGAAAGAATAATGAAAGGATTAGAGTTACACACAGGGCCAGGAAAAGTGACTGTTCACATGGAAAACTCACAATTCATGGGGTATTTGGTAGAGTTCACAGATGAGTCTTACTACAGTGGTGGGAAATAATTAGCCCTAGCTACTTGCTGTTTGGATCCCACCTAACAAATTTTAAAGACAAGACCCAAAGAATCAAATTGTTTCCAAGAACATAACAGTGCTCTAGACTAAACCTTGAAATATCTAAAGCAATAAAAATAATTTAAAACTCAGCAAAGTTTAGTTTACGATGTCTAGAATTAAACAAAATATTACTTAGTGCTATGGTCTAAATGTTTGTGTCTCCTCAAAATTCATATGTTGAGATCCTAACCTCCAAGGTATTAGTAGGTAGGGCCTTTGGGAGATAACTAGGTCATGAGGGCTCCGCCTTCATGAATGGGGTTACTGCCCTCATGAAAGAGATCCCTGAGAGACGACTGATCCCTTTTGCCATGTGAAGTACAGCTTAAACATGGTAATCTATAACCCTGGAAGTGGACTCTCACCAGACACTGAATCTGACAGGATCTTGATCTTGGACTTCCCAGCCTCCAAAACAAAGAAATAAATTGCTGTTTACAAACCTCTGAGTCCATGTTGTGTAGTTTCTTTTTTGGGGAGTCGGGAGGGGTGCTGATTATAATCTCAAAACATGCAATTAGAAATGCCATAATCCTAAATGTTAAAATCCCAAAGTCCAACATCCCTGAAGATCAACATCTCTGAAATCTAAAATTTCCTAACATCAAAAACTGCAGAAATTACAATTCAGAATGTTGAAATTCTGAAAGTTGAATTCTGGGGAAGACATCGGTACATTTTTGGTTGCATACAGGATATTGCATTCTGTTAATTACAACATGTTAGAACTATTCCTTTGGTATCGCCTTTATTTGGAAATTAAGTATAGTTTAAGGAGATGCAATTAAGTATGGGTGCCAAGTTGACAAGGGGTGCATTTATAGACATAATTTTAGGTGTCAACTTGATTGGATTAAGGACGATCTAGACACTTGATAAAGCATTATTTCCCATGGGTCTGTAAGAGTGCTTCCAGACACATTCAAAATAATGGGTAAGATTAGTGTGTGAGTCTGAGTGGACTAGGTGGGGAAGATCTTCCTTCAGTGCTGGCCTGCGTCAGGGAACCAGAGAGAACAAATGCAGAAGGAAAATTGATCTCTCTCTGAGAGCTGGGACAGACTTTTCTTGTGCTACTTTGGACAGCAGAACTGCAGGCTCACTGGCCTTTCAACTACAGCAATTATATCTGGAGTGGCTCCAGAATGCTAAGACTTTTAGCCTCAGACTGAGAGTTGCACCATGGGCTTCCCTAGTGCTGAGGCCTTTGGACTTGGGCTGAGTCATGCTACAGTCATCCCATGGTCTTCAGCTTACAGACCGCCTATCATGGGACTTCTCAGCCACCAAAATTATGCAAGCCAATTCCCCTAATAAATTCACTCTCAATGTCTATATATATATCCTACTGGATCCGCCTCTCTGAAAGACCCTGACTAATACAGATTTGGTATTGGGGAAACTAAATTGATTCCTTCTTACTGTATTTTATGACACAGTGAAAGAGATCTGTGAAATTTTACTCTTGTAAAATGTGATTAACTGTGCAAGGCGAGTTAATGGCAAAAGATAAAGTTTAAAAGCTAATTGTTATTGGTGCTGTAAAAGCAGAAAATAGGTTAATTTCAATAGCGGTGTTGGACAGTATATTCTTACAAATCTTATACTGCATGATTCTATTTATATGGAATTCTGGAAAGTGAAAATTAATCAATTGTGACTAGAAGCAGTGGTTGCTTAGAGAGGGATGGGAAGGAGTTCAAGGGAAGAATCACAGTAAGGGATAATCATGATGAAGTTTTTAGAGTAATTGATATGTTCATTGTCTTGATTGTGTTGGTAATTTCATAGGTATACACATACATCAAAACTAAACAAATTGAACACTTTAAATATGGGCAACTTAGTGTATATTAACTATGCTCCAATAAAGCTGTTTTTAAAAATCTTTGTGAGCTATCACTGGTGGAGGACAAAAGAAAGAGAGAAGTCCACCAGCAGCTCAATCTTTAAGGTTTACAACAATAATGGTACAGGTCAAACCCTCCAAAAAGGGCCAGGCTTGGGGGTAGCTGAAGATACCAAAATGTTGAGTGGACCTGGAAGTTAGCAGATGATTTACTCAGAAATCTGTGACATTTTTGTGTGGGCATATTTATGCAGAATTAGAAAAAGAAGAGGAATAAATAAAGGGAGTGGTATCAGATTTTGAAACTTGTTCTGAATTTTGGAATAGATTTGAGGCTTGTTAGTAATCTCATTGTGTCCCTTTTTGGCATAAAGTCACTAATTTTGTCAGTCAGATAGGTTTTTAACAGTGAAATAAGTTTCTGTATTGCTGCATTGAAAAGCTCTACATATAAATTGCAGGTGTATGGTATTATTATGTAAATTCTAGAACAAGCCTATGCCTTTTTCTTACTCAGTTTTCTACCACCCAACAAGACAGAATCTGTGCTCTCTTCTTAATTTGTCCAATATATAGCCTCTTTAGAATGCTGAGCAAACTCAAGTTCAACTTCTTCTTTTTCTTAGGTTCAATCACTGAATAGTATTATTTTCTTTTTTTCTTATATACTGTCAACTCTAGAGACTTTACCCGCCCCCTCCCCTCCAAAAAAGCTGTTAGAACTAATAAATGAACTCAGTAAATTTGCAGGATACAAAAAATATTTTTTAAGGCTGCATTTCTTTATGTATTTTATTTTTATTATTATTGAGACGGAGTCTCGCTGTGTCGCCCAGGCTGGAGTGCAGTGGCATGATCTTGGCTCACTGCAACCTCTGCTTCCCGGG